CATACTCACCGCTGTGAAAACCTCAAATCACACATTTATTTATTTATCTGACATAAATTTTGCAAAAGAAAGAATATATTAAATATCACCTACAAAATATATAATATAAACATATAAAATATGAAACTGTTATGTGCTAAATTTTCTAACGTTCTGAAAGTCAAACTTTCAGCAAAATGGCTGGGCTATTTAAATAAGTTATATCTTCTACAAGTAAACATTTCCTGCGGCCTGCAGAAACACATTTTTGTATCACCATATTCTGCACCGTTCGCATTGTATCCAGTCGCCTTTCAAGGTCATCTTACCAACTGCTGATCCCACAAGTTTCACTTTCTCGAACTCTCTCATTCGGCTTCTGTTGTGTTTTCGTTGCAGACTTTCGTTTCTGATCTTGTGATTTATTCGACTTTATACGTTACAGGTTAAAGGTGCAATAAGATTCTTTTTTCTTCACGTGTTTCTTGCCAATTTCTTAGCAGATGGTATTACACTCCTGTAACTTTCCTTTTGTGTTTCACCAGTACTAAACTTACGTCATCTTTTTTTTTCTCGTTACGAATTCTGCAGTCGGTTTTCCCAAATGATGACAATGAAACAGAACATTCTTCTTCTTTCGGTAGACCCTACCCGTCGTCAGTGTCTGTCAATGAGGAAACTATTTAAAAAACCTTCGTCCAGAATTTCATGCAACTGACAGTAAACCTCCTAACACTATTTTAACATGTTCTCTCCTGGGTTACAACATTGCCTCTGTCAGAACGCCTTCAGCGACTGTGCGGTCTACGTATTTGCTGAAGCCCGAGAAGAATTCAATGTACTGTGTGGTATTTAGCTGCAAGATTCAAGCGCTGAAGAGTGGTATCTCGATTCTATGAAGATTACTGGACCAAGAATATGATGCTGCTGCTACTGCAAGTGTTTAAGCCGAAATAAACAAGAGTCAATTATTTTCCTTGGTTTGTGGAACTTCCTGTTTGTATGTACCATTCTCTCTAGATTAGCCATTTGGGAACGAGTCGCTCCGTAAATTTTATGGACACCTCTGTACCCAATTCCTGAAACAAAAATTTCCTGGCACTGTTTCGCCAACAGAAATATATTCTTCTATAATTGTTCCCTACGACACGCCGCTACCCACAAGACCAATAGCGACGTTTACAGTCCATGAGAACCTAAAATTCAAATTTCAGAGAAGAAATAGTTTCTATTCACTTGTTGCCATCTGAAAAAATATCGCCGTTGTTTTACGTCTTCTTTGACCATAAGTAACTAATCTTCAAACAAAAAAACCCGTTAATTAGCCAGAGGCTGCGTCTCCACGAGAAAAAATAATGTTGTTCTTTTACTACGACGCACAGCTTGGAAATACTTGGACATTCCGGTCACCAATTTCAAAAATAAAAACCTATATGTTTTCCCGGGGATGTCTCTGAGAGAAACACATTATTTCACGAAGCGCAGTCGCAGGGGTTACTTGGACATCCCTGTGCGTTGTCTTCGGAATTCATAATAGTTCATAATTTTTCAAAAGAAATTTTGTGGTTAGTTTTTTTTTCTACTACGCACCATTAGAGAAAAATGCGCCGTTATGTCTTCAACACATTTGTGAACATTTCATAAGTTGAATAAAGTCCATAATTTTCAGTGCTGCCTCACCAAGAGGTACATTCTTCCTTCCCTATTTACTATTTTGGGTGTTCCCCACGCTCTAGCGTGAGCGAAGAAGACCTTATTGGCTCGTCAATTTCTGTCCGTCGCTCGCAAGACCCAAGGTCACTTATAGAACGCATTCCTGAAACAACATGCCCCAACGATTACCTCGGTTCAAAATTCTGCTGCATTTCTTATTCCCATGGTTGCCCAAAGCGTCTGATTTGGCGTGAAGATCACGTATTGGATTACAGTGTACTCTTTTCCAATCTTGTTACATGACGCACCGTTTTCGGACTCCCCTGTGTAGAATTTTCGAAGCAGAAACATTTCGATAATTTTGCCGAGTTTGTCTTTCGTACCCACCATTTGCTTTCGCAGTGTAAAATAAACGCACCATTTGGTTTTGGACACTCCTACACCTAATTATAAATATCAACGTTCAAAACATACATGGTTTTCCCGGGGATATCTCTCCAATAGAAACACGGTTTTATTTTTACTATTTCTTCTACACTGCATCGTTTGAGTAACGGGGTATGACGGATGGAACGACGGACAGACAGCTACGTTTATGCATATGCACAGAAAGCACTATATATGATATCAAATAGAATGAGACTGGCAAAGCAAGCAACACGCATGGCAGACCGAAGCTTACTTAAGAGGATAATATTAAAACAGATGTCATAAACAGTGTTTTTGGCCGTGTACTAACTCAAAACACGTGACATTGGTGAACTCTTGTAACACGGTAATGAACATTCCAATTCCATAAAAGACAACGAATTTATGAACTAGATGGCCAATTATAAGCTGCTGAAGAAGGGCAGTACTCCATGGAGTAACTACCAGCAGCGAAACCTGATCTAGACGTCGTGCGAAAATGCAGCATCAATAAATCCACTTTAACAATCGTTCTACAACGCCAAGACTTTAAGTTGTTTTGTTGTTGTTGTTGTTCTTCTTCTTATTATTATTATTATTATGTCGCTGTTTTGCTACGCAGCAAAACATTTGTTTAAAACATTCAAATTTTTATGCTCTGACGGTGCACTATTACCATTGGCCGCTGGTGATAACCTGTTTGCCTTCATATTGTATTATTTACTGACAGATATATTTGTACTGTAAACGTGTATCATATTACATAATACAGGAAAGGTTATGGACCTCAACAAGATCTACTACATTTTATGCCTTGAACCAACATTTCTGATAAAGGTTATGAACTTCGAGTGGCAAAACTGAAATTACAATAGACTGATATGAACCGTATTCGTCATACGACTCACATAAAATCGACGCAAACATGCAGACGGATGGATATGATCTCCCCATAACACGTTCATTCAACGCATTTCGTGCTAACACCTAAATAATGAGCGGAA